GCTAGCTGGGGGGTGATGGCAGTTGTAGTTCAGCCAAAGTTTCCCTCTTCCTGGTCTGCTTGTTTTCTGCTATGCTTTAGGGTGGACAGTTACAAAAGGGGACAAGGATCCTTTACTAGTGGTGGTGCAGAAGAAAGAATTTCAGCAGCTGTAGCTTACCTACCAACCTACATCTGACACAATTCACTCTTCTCTTTCAAGATATGGCTTCAGCTAGCATGTCACCTAAAGTTTAAGGCTGGACTTCAGTGATGTACTGAAATACATACATTCCATATTTCATCCTGCCAGACAGAACAATCTTCCTGGCTGCACACTGTTATGGGGGGTTCTCCCAACCCCCTAGGCCTTTTTTGGGGGGGGGGACTGGGAAGCCCCACTGCACAAGCTGAAGTCCAAGCATAAGTCTACTGCTGTTGGTGTTCATTAGGTGAATGCCACTCTAAACCTTTAATGACACTTGAACAATAAACACTCACAGTCTGTGGACCTGATCCTCTACAACCCCATTCATTTGAGTGAACAAACCATTCACCTCCAGTCATTCCATCCTATCCAGACTGAGTCTTGGTTTGCTCGCTGTCATCCTGCCTGTTACCATCTCAAAGCATTGATTCTGGGCACCTACAACCTCACCTGCTTCTGACGAAAAAGAGAAAGAAAGCTGGGTGCCAGCCATGTACTGACCAAATCTGTGGATGACTTCTCTCAAAGGCTCTGTAAATAGATCATGCGTAAATGTGGAGTTGCCCGTATGTGAAATAAGCTTTGCCATGGTGAACTGAAATGCGTTTAGTGTGCTCAACGGGACATATTTGAGCCTGATATATCCACAACCATAATCCTTAAGCAAAGACTGTGTTATCAAAGTCACTTACTTATCTGCCTAAAATGGGCATGTGTGGACAAGATCCATGATACAAGAGAAACAGCATGTATTCTGGGTTTATTTCCAGTCATGGGCTAGCTGTGGCCAACAAGGTGTAGAAGTTACGGACTGAACCACTGGTTCAGAATGACCTCTTGACTCTGATGATAATGATCAGGTGTCCACAAAGGGGCATTTAATAGAGTTAGGCAAACAGCTCCCTGACAACATGTTTGGACATGATTTAATTTCTAGAGAAAATAAACTTCTGTCCTGCAGCCATCATGAAAAAGACAGGCTTGCCTTTATTGCAATATCTGAAGTAAGCTTTGTCATGATAAAGCTGAAATGTGTTCAATGTGCTCAGAGGAAAGAACTTTTTCGAGGTATTCAACCCGGAAAAATGTTTCCTTTTTTAATGGCAACCAATCCGTCTAGATTCAAGATAAAGTGACAATGCCTTGGGAAGTGGCTTTTGATGTGCCCAGCCTGCATGTTAAATCAGGTCCATTCCTCGCCACAACCCTCCATCCCACTTCCTTTTAAAATAAAATTTTAAAATCCTGCATTCAGCTCCTTCATAAAGGTTGTCTCTGGTTAGATGGAGCAGCAAAAGTTTAAGATATCACATCATAATACTTGCATGTGAAAATACATACAGAGGATTCTGTATAGAACTGAGCTGGTAATTACACAAAATAAATGTGTTGCACTAGGTTTTGTTGAATACAGTGCATCTGTGCTGAGGGAGGAAAGAGCTTGTATACAGTTCACATCCCCAATCCCTGAGGTAAAAAGGTAAAGGACCCCTGGATGGTTAAGTCTAGTCAAAGGCAACTATGGGGTTGCAGCACTCATCTATTTTCAGGCTGAGGGGGCTGGCGTTTGTCCACAGACAGCTTTCTGGGTCATGTGGCCAGCATGACTAAACCGCTACTGATGCAACCGAATACCGTGATGGAAGCCAGAGTGTGCAGAAATGTTGTTTACCTTCCCACAGCAGTGATACCTATTTATCTACTTGCACTGGTATGTTTTCGAACTGCTAGGTTGGCAGGAGCTGGGACAGAGCAACGGGAGCTCACCCTGTTGCGGGGATTCGAACCGCCGACCTTCCGATCGGCACGCCCAAGAGGCTCAGTGGTTTAGACCACAGTGCCACCTGCTTCCTGCCAATCAGAGGTTTGGTGTTACTGAACGCAATCTAACCAACCCCAGTTTGTGCTACATGGAAAAGGCCACAGGTTCAATCCCCAGCATTACCAGGCAGAGTTGTTGTTGTTGTTGTTGTTGTTGTTGTTGTTGTTGTTAAATGTATTACCTGCCCTTCACCAGCTGGTCCCAGCAATGTAAGATTCAGGATCAAAAATAGTTGAAGGAGATTCCAACTACCTCAGAAGGTGGTGGATTCTCCTTCATTGGAGCTTTTATATGTACAGTGGTACCTCGGGTTAAGAACCTAATTCGTTCTGGAGGTCCGTTCTTAACCTGAAACTGTTCTTAACCTGAGGTACCACTTTAGCTAATAGGGCCTACCGCTGCCACCGCACGATTTCTGTTCTCATCCTGAAGAAAAGCTCTTAACCCGAGGTACTATTTCTGGGTTAGCGGAGTCTGTAACCTGAAGCATCTGTAACCCAAGGTAACACTGTATAATCTGTCAGGGATTCTTCAGCTGTGATTCCTGCATTGCAGGAGCACAGAGCAGCAGATGACCCTTAGGATTCTATGTAAGAGGCATTATCAGAGCTGGAGGACAAGGCAAATATATTTGCAGTGTGAAACAGTAAGTGGTGTGGGCTGGAGGAAGAGTATTGAGGCATATAAAATATTGAGGTGTACAGTGGTACCTCGGGTTACATACGCTTCAGGTTACATATGCTTCAGGTTACAGACTCCGCCAACCCAGAAATAGTACCTTGGGTGAAGAACTTTACCTCAGGATGAGAACAGAAATCACACAGCGGCGGAGCGGCGGCAGCAGGAGGCCCCATTAGCTAAAGTGGTGCTTCAGGTTAAGAACAGTTTCAGGTTAAGAACGGACCTCCGGAACAAATTAAGTACGTAACCACTGTATAAAGAGTCCTGGAGGGCCACATTTGGCCCAGGGCTTGAGGTTCCTAACCCCTGTTTTAAACTGACTGTGGCAGGAACCTGCCTTCTAGTTAAAGAAGAGGTGGGAAACCTGTTGCCCATAATATGTTATTGAACTACAGCTCCTGTCATCCCTGACCACTGGCCAAGTTGACTGGAGCAGATGGGATCTGGAGTCCAACATTATCTGCAAGCCCCCTCCCCGCCCCCGCTGCTGCACACCAACTGGTGGCTGGTATCCACTCCTCTGCAATGCAATCCAGGGATATATGGGGGGGGGGGGGGAGGAAGAGGTTATACTGGGATATGTTTCCATACTATGAAAAGAAAAAACGGCAGATCTCTGGGAAAAAAAGAACAGTTTAAAAACTGTTAATTAGGCGTGTCTTGTTGTCTCTTCTCAAATATTTCTGGCACATGGTTCCTTTGTATGCCACTCGTGGCAATTGCCATGCCCTACTTGTGAGCTTCCCAGAGGCACTTGGCAGGGAGACAGAGAACGCTAGACTGGATGAAACATTGGTCTGATCCAGCAAGGTAATTATGTACGTTGGAGGGCAGCCTGTTTTAAAGCAGTTTCTTTCAACTAGAAAAGGGAAAAAGAAAGAAAACCACTATCCAGCTATATTTGATTTAATATTTTTTTTTTATGGAGGTTTTGCACAATCAAAACACACCGCAAACACAGAATTTCCCTTCTGGCCCTGAGCATCACTCCTTCCACTACTTCATTTCAGAACTGTGGAGCCAAGCCTGATAGCAGCTTTAAAACAGGGGCGGCAAACCTTTTTTTTTTTAAATCCTGAGGGCCACATGTGAAAGTGTGAAACATTCTGGGGCCATGTGTCAGAAGTGGGCGGGATCAGAGGGAAAAAAGGAGGCAGAGCAATATATGTGACCGGGCCTGGCCCACCCATGAGGCAAGATGAAGCGACTGCCTCAGGCAGCAGGATCCATAGGGGCTGCAGATCCAGCCTCCAAGGAATGCTCTACAGAAGGTGCTGCTGGTCTCCTCCCACCCCTAGAGGGGAAATGGTGGACCCTCTAGGGCAGCGGTTCTCAACCTGTGGGTCCCCAGATGTTGTTGGACTACAACTCCCATCATTCCTAGCCAGCATGACCAGTGGTCAGGGATGATGGGAGTTGTAGTCCAACAACATCTGGGGACCCACAGGTTGAGAACCACTGCTCAAGGGTCTCCTGGGCTCTATACCTGCCTAGTGTGATTCAGAGTGGACCAATCCCCCCCCCCCCGCTCTTGTGATGGACTTTGATTCCCACTTGAACCGTTGGGTAAGGCTGATTTGGTTCCCTCTCTTGTTCCCAATGTAGATATTTATTTCCCCTTTGTTCCTGATGTAGATCTTCTTTTTTGTGGTTTGCCTCAGGTGCCTAAATGTCTTGTGCCAGCCCTGGGTGTGACTCTTATCTTTGTACAGTAGGCCACATGCCAACTGTTTGAACTTTCTACACCCCCCCCCCATCCATCAACAAGACATTATCGCAGTTCAAGGACACATTCCAGCCAGCCGAGGAGGACGGCATGGATTAGGACTGGTTGGGGTGTGACCCCTGGGTAGATATATTCCTGGGGGCCAAATGGGTAGATTCCTGAGGGCCTTGGAGAGTTGCATTCAGTCCCTGCATCTCAAGTTCCCCACCACTGCCTTAAATAAAATCCCACAGAAAGGAACAGAGCAGTCAGGAGGATGCTGTCTCTCTTTCAGCCTTGCAGACTTTATGAAGGCAAAAGAAGATAAGGCACCCGGAGTGTTTTGGATGAAAGATCAGAGCGGCCATTTATGCAACACTAAAGAAAGAGAGGACAGACTTGCACACTGTTTGCATATGCGAAGTCCTATGTATAGATGCAAATTTATCAGTTCTATCTAGTATTAGTCCTACTCAGAGTAGGCCCACTGAAATTAGTAGGTATGATTAACTTAGGTCCACTCATAGCAGTAGGTCTACCATGAATAAACCTTAGTTGAAAAAAGCCCAGTGGCTAGAATTACAATGGAAATGCAAGGCATCTCACCATAGAAGGAAAGACTGTGACCAGGAGACAGCTTGGTCTGCTACCCAGGTGTGAACTGTTGATGGGCAACTTGAAGGCTCCTGCTGCTCTCCCTCCTTGGGGTCCTCTGTCTGTGGACCAGGCAGCTCTTCAAACAGCACACCTTCCTGTGTGAAGTAGGGCACTTGGCCACCCTAGGAAAGATAGAATGCAAAAGTGATAATAAACTTGGGGGGAGCAGAAGAATGAATATTTCACAGCAGTGATTTAAGTTCCTTCTTTATACTTTTCTCAGGTCGCTGCAATTTTCCAAAACGCGCTATCACTTTATGGCAGGTGGAGATAAATTTCTCACCCCTATTTCTTCTGCTACATGTCCTTTATTTAGTATATTTATATCCTTTCTCCTCCTGTCGTGGAACTCAGGGCACCATAAATAAGTTTCCCCAGGTAGGCTTCTCATGCAGTTCTGAACCCACTTAGCTTCATCAAGGTGCTTGCACCATACATCCTCAAACCATAAAATACATTCCCTTTTCTCTTGTGCCCAAGTCCTTCCTAGAGCACAGATTAAATTGTGATGCTATGCACATTTTCATGGGAGTAAGGCTCTTTGGTTAGATGAGTCTAGCTATTAAGTAACCTGAACAAGTTTATAGCAGTAGATACATTTGTAGCTTTCCAGTGCTGCAGAACTAACCTTTTGCTCGCTAATATTGCCCACACAGAAATGGCTTAACAAATTTAAATAGGTATAGCGTCTTCTTGTCCTAAATATATTCAATGGGGTGCTTCATTCAGTCATACGTACATATTGTCTAGCAGCAGCACAGGCCCAGAATATATTGGGAAATATTTCCCCTGTGCCTTTAAGCTTGATTCTATTCATGTGTACATAGAAAAAGTCTTGCTGTTTTAAATAATGCTTTCCCCCAGATAGGTAGACATAGCATTGCAGCCTTACAGCACAATCCCAGTGGAGTCTATTCAGATGTAAGTCCCAGGGAGGTTTACTCCTGGCTAAAAGTGCATGTTTGCCGACAAAGGTCCATATAGTTAAAGCTATGGTTTTCCCAGTAGTGATGTATGGAAGTGAGAGCTGGACCATAAAGAAGGCTGATCGCCGAAGAATTGATGCTTTTGAATTATGGTGCTGGAGGAGACTCTTGAGAGTCCCATGGACTGCAAGAAGATCAAACCTCTCCATTCTTAAGGAAATCAGCCATGAGTGCTCATTGGAAGGACAGATCATGAAGCTGAGGCTCCAATACTTTGGCCACCTCATGAGAAGAGAAGACTCCCTGGAAAAGACCCTGATGTTGGGAAAGATGGAGGGCACAAGGAGAAGGGGACGACAGAGGACGAGATGTTTGGACAGTGTTCTTGAAGCTACCAGCATGAGTTTGACCAAACTGCGGGAGGCAGTGGAAGACAGGAGTGCCTGGCGTGCTCTGGTCCATGGGGTCATGAAGAGTCGGACATGACTAAACAACAACAACAACAACAACAAAAGTGCATGTAACAACTTTCCCCAACATGGCAACCATGCTGTCCAGATGTTTTGGACTTCAACTTCCAGCAGCCCCAGCCATCACTGAATGATGGGAATTGTAGTCCAGAGCATTTGAAGAACATGAGGCTGGGGAAGCCGGCTATACAACAGGGGTAGAGAAACTGTGACCCTCCAGATGCCATTGGAGTCCAACTTCCATCTTCTCTAGCCACCATGGCCAGTGGTTGCAAGGATGATGGAAGATGGAGTCCAACAGTATCAGGAGGGTCACGTGTTCCTCCACCTTGTTTTATGTAGCATTGCAGCCTTAATGTCTTCAGGTGAAGCCTCACTCAGCAGGTGCAAAGTGTAACCAAGGCTGTGCCTTCCAGTTTGTAGAACAGCCTTCCTGATGATACCCACTGAGTAGGGATGGGAGATAAAGTCAATTCAGTTGGCATTTAAGGGTGAATCTAAGTATTCTGCACTTTCCTAAACCATCTGAGAACTGAAATGCAGCCATCCTTCAAAATTTACACTGAATTTTGCCCTACGGTTTTCCAGTCAAGTAATGTGTACAAAGGGGACGCGGGTGGCGCTGTGGGTAAAAGCCTCAGCACCTAGGGCTTGCCAATCGAAAGGTCGGCGGTTCGAATCCCCGCGGCGGGGTGCGCTCCCGTTGCTCGGTCCCAGCGCCTGCCAACCTAGCAGTTCGAAAGCACCTCCGAGTGCAAGTAGATAAATAGGGACCGCTTACTAGCGGGAAGGTAAACGGCGTTTCCGTGTGCGGCTCTGGCTCGCCAGATGCAGCTTGTCACGCTGGCCACGTGACCCGGAAGTGTCTCCGGACAGCGCTGGCCCCCAGTATTGAAATACTTAAAAAAAAAATCCAACTCTTTACAAAAATGTGTCTAAGGCTGCAATCCTGTTTCCATTTACTTGAGAATGAGCCCCATTGAACTCAGTGGGACTTGCTTCTGAGTAGACTAGATGTGCGTAGGCTTGCATTGTAATAAATTCTGGAAAAGATAAATAAATAGGGCCTGAGAAAATGAGACAATTTTGAAAAATAAATTTTGCTTTACTGCTTCGTTCTATTGATAGATATGGCATTCCCAGACATGGTAGGTAAGATAGCCAACAAGTCCTGTCTCTAATGAGGAGACTATATGTCTTCCTCCCTTTCTTTTTAAGTGACTTCTCTCTTCTTATTTAAAAAAAACACTTTAATGGTTTATTCTTGTGAAGCAAACCTGTAGGGCTGTCAACCAGTTGCAGAATTTTTAACTGATCCATGCTCATTTTAACTAGTTAACTGATTCAACATTTGATTCTCTTCCCATTAATTTACACTGCCAAAGCCCCAACACCAATTCCTGTTTTGACAGATTGAAAGATTCGTGTGATTGGTTGCTTCCGACTTGCTAAACAAAAAGTTATTGCTTATTCTTCGAAGGGAAAGCTAACTTAATACTTTTATTCCAGTAACACACTGGCACCAAAATAGCATCAATAAAACAAAGAACAAACAACCCCAAGTGTGCTCTTAAATTGCTCTGCCAGATTCATCAGTTAAGCTTTGGTTGATTCATCTATTGATTAAATGTGGTAGCCCTACAAACAAGCTGTTGTGAATTCATCATTTCCCCTACCAAATGGCCAGCAGCCTGGAAACTCCGTTCCTCATTGTTGTCTCTGTGGGTGTGAAAGAGCCGGGAGGAAATTTTGGCCATCTCACCTGCCCTGTCTGGGAATGCCGTTGGCACATGGCAATGTTCTGCAGTTTTCTGTGCATCAGATAACTTGTTTCGAATTGACACATTCCCTGTCACTCAAAGGGTTTCTGAAAAGGACCACTGAGAGAAAAGCCTGAAAAGGACGGGTGACCCCCCCCCCAAGGGAGAGAAGCTTGAACCGCAGTTATCAATCAAACCAGGACCACATAGCACCTTTGGGAGGTGGGAATCTGCTTCTTTTTCAACACCTACTTAATGCTCTTTAGGCTGCCTCTTTCTCAGCAGACATTAGCTCATGCTGACTCTTGCAGCAGCTTATATTGCTATGTTCCAACTCTTACACCCATTCAGCAATGTATGCCTTCAGATTTCCCATCAGTACAAGGGAATTTTCCCACACACTTACCAAGCTAACTTACATTTGCACCAGGCCCTAGCCAGCAACACAACTGCCTTCATGCCTTCTTCCTTGCAGCAGGAACAATGGCCTTTCTTTCTTTCTTTCTTTCTTTCGTAAGGTAAAGGAAACCCTGACCATTAGGTCCAGTTGGGGCCGACTCTGGGGTTGCGGCACTCATCTCGCTTTATTGGCCAAGGGAGCCAGCATACAGCTTCCGGGTCATGTGGCCAGCATGACCAAGCCGCTTCTGGCGAACCAGAGCAGCGAAAGGAAACACCATATACCTTCCCGCCAGAGCGGTACCTATTTATCTACTTGCACTTGAAATGCTTTCGAACTGCTAGGTTGGCAGGAGCAAGGACCGAGCAACGGGAGCTCACCCCGTCACGGGGATTCGAACCGCTGACCTTCTGATCGGCAAGTCCTAGGCTCTGTGGTTTAACCTACAGCGCCACCCGCGTCCCTTCTTTCTTATTAGACACTGCATAATTTAGTTCTGGAGAGGGTGAGAACACACTCCCGAAACACCAACAATTAAGTTTCCATTTGGTCAAGGATTCCCAAAATTGTGGGGCATTGCTGCGGAAGGAGGGCAGCAGCCTTCCTACTGTTTGCTCAGGTGAATGCTCCTCTGATAGAGTGATAATGGCTGCCCACACATACATTTGAAGCAGAATTAAAGCACATGACTTCCCCTCCCCAAAGAATCCTGGGAACCTGGGTACTAGGGTGCTGGCCAATTGTAGCTCTGTGTGTGTGGGGGGGGTAAACTACAGTTCCCAGGATTATTTGTTGGAAGCCAACTTGGCAAAGGCTGATGTAGTAGTGGCTCTCCGGAGTTTCAGCTGTGAGTCTTTCTCCGTTCCAGTTGGAGATGCCAGAGGTAGAACTTGGAACCTTTTGCATATAAAGCCTGTTTTCTACCCCCGAGCTGCAGGCTGTTCGTATGAATGATATAAGAGCGTATGGCTCAGTTGGTAGAGCATGAGACTCTTAATCTCAAGGTTGTGGGTTTGAGCCCCAAGTTGGGCAAAATATTCCTGTTTTGCAAGGGGTTGGGCTGGATGACCAACTCTACAATTCTATGATTCTATGCCATGATAGGACGCGGGTGGCGCTGTGGGTAAAACCTCAGCGCCTAGGACTTGCCGATCGCATGGTCGGCGGTTCGAATCCCCACGGCGGGGTGCGCTCCCGTTGCTCGGTCCCAGCGCCTGCCAACCTAGCAGTTCGAAAGCACCCCCGGGTGCAAGTAGATAAATAGGGACCGCTTACTAGCGGGAAGGTAAACGGCGTTTCCGTGTGCTGCTCTGGTGCCGGTTCGCCGGAGCAACTTCGTCACACTGGCCACGTGACCCGGAAGTGTCTGCGGACAGCGCTGGCTCCCGGCCTCTAGAGTGAGATGAGCGCACAACCCTAGAGTCTGTCAAGACTGGCCCGTACAGGCAGGGGTACCTTTACCTTTACCTTTATGCCATGATAATGTTGATTCCATCTCTCTCTCTCTCTCTCTCTCTCTCTCTCTCTCTGTGTGTGTGTGTGTGTTTGTGTGTCCTTCCTTTTGTGGTGGGGGAAAGAGACCTGTATTTTTGCTGGTCATGAAATAAAAAGAGAACACTGTAAGGTCAGTCCTTTTTCTGATTCCACCCCCTTGTTCTATTGCCTTGTGCTCTACTCTAAACTGACCAGCCAGCTGCCTACCAGTGCTTTAAAGATGTGTGGCAATAAACTGTAGATTTCCACCACCACCTGAACGCTTGCAGTGAAACAAAGCACAGAAGGACTCTTACCTAGACATCATATTTTAACTTGCTTACTAATGAAATTAGGAAAAATATGAAGTCTGCCTTAACAAAAGCCACGTATGTAAGCACAGTCTCCAATGAATTTCTCCATCCAGAGTGACATGCAAAATATTAAACCTTGAAAACAAGGGATCTTTTGTCAAAATACAGAGGCTCAGCCACACCATCTGTTATCTGGCTCCTGTCAGCTGATGAATTCCAGCACAGCTCACCAGGAGAGCTTGCTCCATGTGGCACTATTCCTGTACTGATAGCCGGTCGCTCAGTTCCTTTATGGATATGATTCACAAAAGATTCAAGGAATGACCTCAGTTAACTAGTCTTCTTGTGGCTCACCAGTGGGAAAGAGGCCAGTGTTCTTCAGATGTGAGTTTCCAGGTGGTATAGGACTTCTTCTTCTTTGGCGATCACTCGTAGCTCAGCAAGATTGTCTTCCATGAACACTGTCTTAACAGTGCGTCTGTAAGTGACTGTGGAGGCCAATTCTGGATCCACACGTCCTTCCACAGTGGGGACATAGGTTTCTGGGCAGGAGTTGATCACAGTGAGGGTTTGCCAAATGTACCTTCCTCTTAGCACATTTTCCCCTTTTGTCCTGAGTTTGAGCATCTTCAAAGTCCATGACACCTTCGATAAAGGCTTTTCTCCAATTGGAGCACTTGCAGCCCAGTGTTTCCCAACCGTCAGTGTTTATACTACATTTTTAAGATTTGCCTTGAGAAAGCCTTTAAACCTCTTTTATTGATCACCAGCATTACGCTGTCCATTTTTAAGTTTGGAATAGAGCAGTTGCTTTGGAAGACGATAATCAGGCATCCAAACAACATGACCAGTCCAATTACGTTGTTGTTGAAGACTCATTCCTTCAACACTGGTGATCTTTGCTTCTTCCAGTACACTGACATTAGTTTGTCTGTCTTCCCAAGCAATGTGTAAAAATTTTCAGAGACACCACTGACGGAATCTTTCAAGATGTTTTTATGTAGTCTGTGTTTCACAGGCATACAGTAAGTTTGGTAGCACAATAGCTCTGTAAACAAGCATTGTGGTTTCCCTGTGAATGTCCCAGTCCTCTAACACTCTGTACTTCATTTGGGGGAAAGCTGCACTCGCAGAGTTCAGGCAGTGCTGGATCTCTGCATCAATGTTGGCCCTTGTGGAAAGATAACCGCCAAGGCAGGAGAAGTCATCAACACTTTCCAATGTTACATCATTAAGCTGGATTTGTTGTATAGGACTACAGCTCCCGTCAACCCCAGCCAGCTTAGCCAATGGTCAGGGTAGATGGGAGTTTTAGTTCAACAACATCCAGGGATGCTAGACTGGAAAACGCTAGAATAGACAACAGTGGGTGAGAAGCATCAATAGTTTGACTATGTAATGCAGCTTTATATGTGAATTTGGTCAGTAATATTTCAAATAAACCCACGTATGACAGTTACTGAACAAGTCACCATAAAAGGGGTCAAGAGAGGACACAGATTTGTATAGCAGTTGCATGTATTTATATCTAAAAACCAAAATTAAGAAATACACATATAATGTAGGGTTGCGCCATAAGTCCAGCAAACTTGTTTAAAAATAACTCAATAACTTTCTATTTTTTTGAGATTTTGCAAAAACTAAAAAAAAAACCACAATACCATAAAACCTCAACAACTTTGGAAAAAACTACTCAACAACTTTTGTGTCTGGATTTTCACTTGTTGCAATAGGGCAACGCTAATATAATGCAGATAGCACAATTCATCTCACCGTACTTGGCAAGACTGTGGCAAAGTGATCTGCATGCATGTTCAGTCTGCCACCCAGGTGCTAACTCCTGAAGGGCATTTGCAAGGCCTCTCCTGATTTCCCTTCTTAGAATTAACCATCTTACCAACAGTAAACAATCTTTTCTATTATAGTGAGATGTATTGTCTGTCTACTTAAATTATAGCAATTATTTCCAAATTTGCATCTGTACATAAATTAGCACCTGTAAATTTCATGCATATCTGTGCCCTCTTCTGTTCCTCTTCTTTTGGGCCATGGCTAAGTGACTACCCTATGCTGCCGCCATATGCAGAAGGGTATATTATTTTCCCCTTTCCCCAGTGTCTGATGTCTGTCCCTATGTAACTTATACCAAAGTCTAGCAGTTTTCCCTTCCATCTTCCCTTCCAGGCTTCATGTTTTTCTACCCACCATTCCCATTGGGAGCATGCTAGTTGGTCTGGGCTCACAAAGTGCTTTGAAGACATCAGCAAATGAAAACACCCTTGGCGTTAAATGGGGGAGGAAGAGGAGACACTCAGCTGAGCCAAACCTATTTTCTTAGAGCTCTCATGTTTGGCTATGTTCTTGTGACTTTTAAACGTGCTAGGTGCATGACTGCTACCCACCCACTCACTCACTGCCAATCCTCTTCAAATAGCCATCTATGCTAGTGGCCATCCCAACATCCTGTGGCAACACATTCCTTCAGTTAATTATACCTGTGTGAAGCAGTTCCTTTCCTTTCTGCGAAGCCTCTTGCCAGTTGGTTTCATCAGTTGAATTTTGGTTGCAGCATTTGGTGGGAAACAGAATATAATCAAGGCCCTCTGCATATTTCAGAATTATATGAAACTCTTATCATGTCTCCTTAAGCCTTCATTTTTCTAAACTGAAAGCAAAAAATTTTATGAATACAGTGGTACCTCGGGTTAAGTACTTAATTCGTTCCGGAGGTCTGTTCTTAATCTGAAATTGTTCTTAACCTGAAGTACCACTTTAGCTAATGGGGCCTCTCGCTGCCACGCAATTTCTGTTCTCATCCTGAAGCAAAGTTCTTAACCCGAGGTGCTATTTCTGAGTTAGCGGAGTCTGTAACCTGAAGCGTATGTAAGCTGAAGTGTTTGTAACCCGAGGTACCACTGTACTTATATGGGAGGAAGTTTCCCTGAACACAGCGAGACTTACTTCTGAGTAAGTGTGTATAGGATTCTGCACCTAAAATGTTACATGGTTTAGGCTATAATCCTATAAATACCTATCTGGGAGTAAGCCCCATTGGGATTTACTTTTCAGTACAGTATAATATTGCACAACTAATGGTGGATTTGCAAGGATTTTTCCTTTGGGAAGTACAAACAGTTCTATCAAAACTGGCATGTTTACCAAAAATATAAAAATGAAGTTAATGTATCTGGTTAGGCTGACAGCTTATCAGATTTCTAAAACTAAATGTACAACATTCAAAGAAGTTTGAAGCCCGGTTGTATCATAGATAACAAATGGGTTTTCTGTATGCGATGCTATTTTTGAGTGGTTGAATTGGATCACATGGAGTCATTATTATGAACTTTGCTTTTTATTTTGCCCTTAGAAGTGTTACCTATAAGGAAGTTTCCTGCTGTCAGATGTGAGCAAGATCCAAATAGTCCCATGTGCAAAGTGAAAACACATGCTGATTCCCATCCCCACGCCCAGCTTCAACCCCCTCCCACCCAGAAGCGTCTCCTAATATTCTGTAGCAGTTCTCAGGGAGCATAGAAAGCTGCCTTAGTATACTGAGTAAGACTATTGGTCCATCTAGCTCAGCACTGCTCACACTGACTGGCAACAGTTTTCCAGGATTTTGGACAGGGTTTCCCCACATACCTATTTGGAGATGCTGGGAATTGAAGCTGTGGCCTCTTGCATTCAAAACAGATGTTCTACCACTGAACTATGACCACTGTCAGAGGGGTGCAAGAGGTCAGCAAGGAAAGACCCCCGTACACAAAAAGAAGCCATGTAGTCCTCTAGATTTCACCCTCTGGGATTAGTACAGACCCAGTACAATTTACCAACTTACATTCCCAGCATATCTCAGTGACATCTACGCTGGCTTGGTCATGCTGACAGAATGGAAGATGGCATGATCCCCTAGGACGTGCTCTACAGGGAGCTGTCTTCAGGCACCAGGCCCACCGGCAGGCCAACTCCGTACAGTGGTACCTCTGGATGCGAACGGGATCCGTTCCAGAGCTCCGTTCGGATCCTGAAGCGAATGCAACCCATGTCAGTGCGTCTGTGCGGGTCGCAATTCGCTACTTCCGCGCATTATGTCATTTTGAGCGTCTGTGCATGCGCGAGCGGCAGAACCCGGAAGTAACGCACTCCGTTACTTCTGGGTCGCCGTGGAGCACAACTCAAAAATGCTCAACCCGAAGCTCCTCCACAATATAGCCATCATGACTACTAGTAACAATTGATAGCCTTGTCCTCCATGAATTTGTTTAACCCCCTTTTAAAGTTGCCCAGGTTGGCGGTCATCCCTACCAGGACATCTTGTGGCAGTGAATTCCATAGTCTAACTATGCATGGAGGTCTTCTGCTTCTAACACGTGCTTCCTAGTCACCAATTCTTTGCCCTGTGGGAAAAGCTGATGATGCATGGGTTAGTCATAGTTTATGACATTAAGGAGATGCAGAACGATAGGTTGAAGTGATTATTATTATGTGACTGTTACCACAGTGTTAATTTTTTTCAGCCGCTACCAGTGCACCTCACAGATATCCCCTGAGTTATGACAGGAAAAGCGAAAGAGTTTACTTGTGAAAGATTTCGAATCCACTTCTTTTTCTCCAAAACCTCACTTGTGTGCCCCAGGTAAAAGCTCTGGAAGGGCTGGCAAATCCCCCAGCGCTTTTGAAACAACACTCAGCTCACCAGTTTCTCTCTGGTTTGCGAGAAGCTACGCATTTTGGCCAAACCGCCCGAAAGCAGGGGTGGTTGGGTGGGGGAAGGTTTTGGACATTTGGTTTCATCAGAAGTTATGGAGCCAGATGAGGTCACCGCAAAGAGGTCACAGAGGATATGACACAGGAGTGGGATTTGGAGAGAAAAGAGGGGGATGGACGTGGGAACAAGGAGCCATTGTAACAAGACCTTCCAAGTGCAGGCCATAATCAGCTGTGAAAACTGGCAACCGTTCTCTCTGGTGGCCTGCAGACAATGCCGAGTTTCACATGTTCTTAACGTGGGCCTCAGTAAACAGAACGGCAAAAGAGCCGGCAAAGGAGAGTGCGATTAGACGTCTGAGGTCCAGGCAGGTCCCGTCTGCTGGGATCAGGCTGTCTGCCTCCTGGCGCAGGCCTGTATTAACTGATAGCAGGAAACAGGGGTTAAGGGAATGGAGGGGATTCGGGAAAGGGAGTCGGCTGTCCTACCAGACTTGGTGGTGCAAATCCATTTTGTCTGATTATATACATAGTGGTATATCTGTGAAGCTACACAGATAATTGGAGTTTTGAGGTACTGGGGCAGGGGGAGAACACCACTCGCTTGTCACCTCTTGGTTGTGAGGGATATACAGAGCCCCTCAGGGCTGGCCCTAAACATTTTCCTGCCTGAGGCAAAGGGCAAGATGGCGCCTCTTCTCACTGCATATACAGAAACCAAGACCGTCCCTGTTATTAGGAAGAGTGAGGCAGCCACCTCAGGCAGCTAGTTTAGAGTGTCATGAAGAGGCTGGCAATCACCAGTTATTTAGTTTATCATAGTGGTTTTACTCCCAGAGAAGCAGGGAGAAGCCTGCTGGTATGCATACCCTTCAATATGTCCTGGCCAAAAACCAGGACGCAGTGGCGTAGCGTGGGGGGTGCAGGGGGGGCCGGCCGCACCGGGCGCAACATCTGGGGGGGGCGCGCTCGCACACACAGCTCTCTGCCCCTACTAAAATCCACGGGTTAGGGGGCGCAAATTACTTGCCTTGCCCCGGGTGCTGACAACCCACGCTATGCCACTGCCAGGACGCCCTCCCCTCCCAGACGAGTCACATGACTTGTGTGAGATCATGGTGGGGTGGAATTATGGTACCCAAAATGGCCACCAAGCTCTCACATGAAAAAATGGGGTGTCCCAGTTTTCCAAGGGCAGTTGAGGCATATGGGAATGTTCAACTTCAAGTACCAAAGTTACCTGATTGGCTTTGGGTGCTGTGTGCTTTGCTGTTGTGTGTGTATGTGTGTGTGTTTGTGGGAGGGTGCAATTTGCTGTTCCACGACAGGCAGCAGAATGTTTTGGGTCAGCCCTGGGCAGAAGCTGGTTGGACTGGCAGTTGAATCTCAGTTCACAGTGGTGACAGGGCAACACACCTGAGGGGAGCAGGCTCCTTTAGGGGACATGGAGCAGATTCTGTGGTATACACAGCTCTATCCTCAGCCCACAGTACCTGCTGCCTGAGATGGCCGCCTCACTCTGCCTAATGATAGAGCTGGCCCTATCATTCCTTGCATGTCTGCTGCAGAGCAATCTCTTGTTTGTTTGCTTGCTTGTGTATGTGTGTGTGTGCGCACATGCTTGATTTTAAGGAAACCTATAAGTGGTTTACAAAAATATAAAATATTTTAATAATAAATAAATATTTTAATATTAAATAATTAAAATATAAAACATTAACATTCTCAATAAAAACAGTTAAATCAGTGTTGGAAAAACATTCAAAAGTGCTGGTGAACAGCACTACACCCCTGCAAGGCAGTTGCCTCAGGCGGCAAATCCGGCCTCCCCACAAGCACCTCCTCTGTGCCCACCTGCCACTGCACCTGCCTCCGCCATGCCTGGCTGCCGCCACCTGCTCCTCTTCAGGCTCCTTTTACTACTATGCCACTTTCAGCGTTGAGGAAGAGGAGAAGGGCATTTTCTGTTTTGCCTGAAGCGATAAAATGTCTGGAGCCAGCCCTCATAAGAACTGTAGCTTTAAAAACCAGCACGTGTAAATCAGGAGCGCTTCCACTGAGGCCCCTCTCCTCACAAGCAATCCTCCACTCACCAAATGAAAACAGAACTTTTACTTCAGGGCCTCAGATTTATCCCCGAATGCATTGCCAGATTCCCTGCCCTCCACCCGCCACTAATTGCCCCAATGCTGCTCTGTCATTTCCCTCTTCCCTCCCAGCTTTCACCCACCAATTAAAGATCAAACACATTTCAGATTTCTATTGATTTTTTTAAAAAAACAACAACCCATAACAGTATTAAAAATGAATAGCGTAAGCTTGAAGACTCCAGGATACCAATTCCCAAAAGCCAAATTAAAATTTTAAGCAGATTGTCTCCAGATAGTCAGCTGTGCTGACAAAGCATTCTGTTTTGCACTTGCAAGAACAAAGTGGGGAGATGATCACAATTCTTATGCTATACATTGTGTTATATATGGAAAAGATAACTGTGGAAAGTGTATGATTCTGGTTTTTTTCCTAAAGTGCATGCAAAACGTTTATCGCAGACAATTTCTTACTTACCAGGAGCAAACAGAAATCCTAACCAATAGAAGAAACCCAGAGTACAATTTGGGAAGATGTTCTCCTACGCAATTAGAGGATGGGTGGTCATCTATCAAGGATGCTGTTGTTTCAAGACTCTTCCTTTGAGAGCCGGCTTGGCCTAGATGACCTCCAGCCCTAAAATTCAATGCTCCTATGAAACTCCATTGAAAGGAACAGAACCTACTCAAAAGCACTTACGTGCTGTTACACAGTTCTCATTTACATCCATGAAACTTGCACAGCAGAACTTCTCAGGAGATTGTGTCTCCAATGCTAAAAGGATGGTGGGTCTATTTTCTTGTTTGGCCAGCTGGTTTCTTGGCCTGTAGGTTATAGGAATTACTAGAGCTCTGCATGTGAATTGGCTCCAAATGAACATTTGCTGGAAAAGTGACCAGCTTCCGTATTTTTCCAACACACACACACACACACACCTGAACATTGGTTTATAGAATCTGAATTGTATTTCACTTACTGCTATCTTTTAGCTTTTGGTACCACATCATGTGGTATGTTTGACACATAATTATAACTTTTGATTTTCCTTTTTGTACAATGCATATCCAAACTGTTAAAAGAACAAACCTTATATATTATCTTTACAGTGGTACCTCGGGTTACATACGCTTCGGGTTACATACGCTTCAGGTTACAGACTCCGCTAACCCAGAAATAGTACCTCGGGTTAAGAACTTTGCTTCAGGATGAGAACAGAAATTGTGCAGTGGTAGTGGGAGGCCCCATTAGCTAAAGTGGTGCTTCAGGTTAAGAACAGTTTCAGGTTAAGAACGGACCTCCGGAATGAATTAAGTTCTTAACCTGAGGTACCACTGTACTGTGGGGTCCTGCCCTTCTGAAGAGAAATGCTTCTGAATACCAGTTGATGGAAACTGCAGGGCAGAGGCCAGTGTTCCTGTGCCCGCCTCCTGCTTTGTGGGCTTCCTAATCAGCATCTAGTTGGCCACCGTGAATGCTGGATGAGTCACTGGACTGATCCAGCTGGCTCTTCTGCTCTTCCTCTTGGTTTAAAAACATAATAGTCCCGCTGGATCAGATCAAAGATCCATCTAATGTCTAGCATGCTGTCCTCACAGTGGCCAACGTGATGGTGAAGCCCAGAAGAAGACATGAGGACAACAAGACTTTTCCTGTCATGATCTCCAGCAACTGGCATTCAAAAGTACTGAATACTGGCATCTATAACCAGTAGCCATAGATATCTGTCTTTTAATTTACCATCCTCTTTTAAAGTCTTCCAGGTTGACAGCCATCACAACAATTAAGTATTTGCAATACCAGCAGTGTATGACTCAGAATAAGGACCAGTCAACAACAACAACAAAAAATCCAGAATTTTCACAGAATCATAGAATTGTAGAGTTGGAAAGGACCCCGAGGTTCATTGGACCCCTGCAATGTAGGAATCACAGCTATAGCATCCATGACAGATGCCCCTCTAACCTCCTTTTAGGAACCTCCAATGAGTCTGAAGACTCCAAAGGAAACCCGTACTCCACATTTAGAGGGAATTACGCTGCAGATACTCTTAGAGAGCCAGTGTGGTGTAGTGGTTAAGAGCGATAGACTCGTAATCTGGGGAACCGGGTTCGTGTCTCCGCTCCTCCACATGCAGCTGCTGGGTGACCTTGGGCCTTCTCTGAAGTCTCTCAGCCCCACTCACCTCACAGAGTGTTTGTTGTGGGGGAGGAAGGGAAAGGAGAATGTTAGCCGCTTTGAGACTCCTTTGGGTAGTGATAAAGCGGGGTATCAAATCCAAACTCTTAGAACCAACTGAGCCTCACTGCAGCCCCATCATTTCACCTGCTCTTGCCTCTTCTGTGCCTCCCCGTCCCAGGACCTCTGAAGCAAAATCGGCTCACAATCTCATCCACTTCCCTTGACCTTTGCAAGGCCTTCTTCGTATTTCAGCATCTCAATGTGAAGGCAGAGCAAAGGGGAAGTCGGCCCTTACAGCTTTAACAGCCGAAAGCAGCGGTTTTGGGAGATGTGGCAGGGAAAGAGGAGGGCGGGGGGAGCCAGAACTGAATTGCCTGCATTTGATACTTTTACCTTCTGTTTGTCTGCCAGTCTCCGCTCTCTTAGAGCCCTTTCCCTTTCATCCTCGCTGCCTTCTGCTCTGCCTCAATACTCCCCCCCCTTCTTGCCTCATCTTCCTTGCCACATCCCCATCTTGCTTATCCCTCCCCCCCCTTTCCTCCTCCTCCTCCTCCTCCCTTCGGCTCACTCCTTGCTTTGTTGTGGAATTCCTTGACTGCCTGGTCGGTGGCACACAGCAGCGCTCAGGACAGAGAAGCATGCCAAATGCTGGGGGGGCTGCAGACTTTCTGTCTGCAAGGGGACTTCCTGTCCCTACTTGGGACTTACTTCAAGAAATCCAAGGCAGCGCTGTTTCCCCTCCTCCTGCCTCCTTTGCTGACAGAGCTGCCGCTGCCTGGAGCCCTAATATGCTGAGCGCATAGAGGGATGCAAATCCCAGAGCTAGTTTAGTGGGGAAGACTGAAGAGAGAGGGAAAACAAAAACGGAGGGATTGGTATTTTGGGAGGAGTCAAGGAGAGGGTGGCGCTGTGGGTTAAACCACGATCCCTAGGGCTTGCCGATCAGAAGGTCGGCAGTTCGAATCCCCGCCACAGGGTGAGCTCCCGTTGCTCGGTCCCTGCTCCTGCCAACCTAGCAGTTCTAAAGTACGTCAAAGTGCAAGTAGATAAATAGGTACTGCTCTGGCAGGAAGATAAACGGTGTTTCCGTGCGCTGCTCTGGTTTGCCAGAAAGCGGCTTAGTCATACTGGCCACATGACCTGGAAGCTGTACACCGGCTCCCTTGGCCAGTAAAGCGAGATGAGCACCGCAACCCCAGAGTCGTCCACGACTGGACCTAATGGTCAGGGGTCCCTTTACCTTTACAGAGGTACCTCAGGTTACATATGCTTCAGGTTACATACGCTTCAGGTTACAGACTCCGCTAACCCAGAAATATTGCTTCAGGTTAAGAATTTTGCTTCAGGATGAGAACAGAAATTGTGCTCCAGTGGCGCGGCAGCAGCAGGAGGCACCATTAGCTAAAGTGGTGCTTCAGGTTAAGAACAGTTTCAGGTTAAGAACGGACCTCCGGAACGAATTAAGTACTTAACCCGAGGTACCACTGTACAAGTGTTGACAGGAGGTCGTGTGGCACAGGGTCCTTTTTATTATTTGGGGCCCGGGTTGCAAGGATGGAAGTGGGAGCAGGCAGTATACAAGCATTATGAATATGTTTGCCCCACAGAGAGGAGATATGTGCTTGTGGTCCGTATACATATATCCTTCTAGGGTGGCTATGCTAGGGCAGTCCTTTGCAGAGGGGAGTCTTCTATTCAAAAGACCCTGTTAACGGTGACAGGTTTTGTTGTTGCTTAAATTTGTATACTGCCCTGTAACCGCAGGTCTCAGGGTGGTTATGACATAAATAAAATCACAATATCAAAACACAAAATACATAATAGAAACAAAAACAACCCAGGTCAGCAGGCTGAGCCACAGGCACACAGGTAACCTAGTCACAGTCTTCCCCACTATGTTGAGTTGGGGCGTATTTCTGTTTAACTTCCATTATTTCTATACCTTTGCATTTATGCATATAAATTAGAATGTGTAAATGCTGTGCAAATCTGTATCCTGCTTTGTCCTCTTTTCTGGGGGATGTGTTTCCTCTTTGGTGGCAAATAATGAGGGCAGCCACTATCTCCTCCTTTGAATCATGAACTGTTGGTTAAAAATGGGTAACATTTCCTAATAATGCACTTCAATGCAAAAATGATCCTTCTGCACTGCATTGCTTTGAATGGGGTGCACATCCAGATTATTATTAAAGGGTGTGCATTAAAAGCCTTTCTATGCAGAAAAATATGCATTGTGCAATAAGATAAAATAAAAAAAAATTAAAAATAGCAATCCCAATGCAAAAATGCATCACAGCTGAACAGCAACAGCAAAGCTATGTACACATTACCAACTTAAAACGCAGCAAGGTTGTTTCCCCCCTCTAAATTTGGATTGAAGCTGTTTTGGGGGAAGCACATCAGAATGCAGCATTTCATAGGAAATGATAAGACAGATACAAGATGGAAATGGATTGTGTCCACTGTCATGCATCCCAAAGCAGAGGTGGGCACAGCCTAATACAAAAGCATCTTCATTGATATTCTGTTGGGACAAATCACGCAAAAACTGTGTGATTCTAGTGGGATTGGAGCAACATGTCATATGCTATAAAGAAAAGGCAAAGTCCAGAAAGGCATGAAGACCACTTGCACAAGTGATATTTTTTGCATTTTCTGCATTAGTAATTGAATGCCTACATTTGCTAGAAGTTGATTTAAAATGGATCGCCTTCTAACCCCTGTTATTGGCATTCCTTCTTGTTATGCATTCAGAATGGCTGCAGTTCTCACTCTGGGACACCAGTATGCAAATGAAGGATGGAGAGTTGCTTTCACCAATTGGGTAGTTAGTTGGAATTCGTTACTGTTACAAGTTATTGAGCATTATATAAGGCAGTCAGATTCACTGTTGTTCAGAGAGGCTTAGAGCAGTGCTAACTGCTGTAATAAAGAGCTGTTGCTTAAAAGAGCTGTGTCTGTCGGCCATCTTCCCCACTATACAACACCTCTCTCCCTGCAAAAGGAGGGGTGCATCAAATTAACTTTGGTGACTAAGTGGTATATTAAAAAAACAAACGAACGACCGAATGAATGAATAAATGAATATTTGGCTCTCCATGCATATCTAACCTCCAGGTTAGATTATTGCAACGCGTTATACGTAGGGCTCTTCCTGAAGACGGTTTGGAAACTTCAGCTGGTACAGAATTCAGCGGCTAGGTTGCTCACCAGGCATATAACACCAATCCTGGCCCAACATCCCTGGCTGCCAATTACCGTAGTTTCCGAGCCCAATTCAAAGTGCTGTATTTGACCTATAAAGCCTTAAACTGCATCACATACAGTCTCGGCAATTCACTCATAAATAATTTTTACATGGTTTTCATTGGTTCATTTGACTATGTCTGTTTTCCTCTGTATGGAACACCTGTATCATAAGTTGTATTATGAGCATGAGAAATGGAATATTCCCACCTGCTTCTCCACCGCAGGGAAAATTAACCCAGGTAAGCATTTGAACTGCATCAGTCAAAAACCTATGCAGAGGCCAAGAGAGAGAGAGAGAGAGGAAAATAGGAGCATTGACTCCCTACCACCTCCCAAATGAAAGCAGTGATTCATAAACGTTTCAGTATAGAAGCAAGTCAAATATGTCAAAAGCGCGCACACACATTCAGAGTGAAATCTTTCTTGAGTTCAGTCAAGGAATTCAAAATTCTGAAAATCGCGTTTTCTGAAAATATTCTGGTCAACATTTGAACAACAACAACTTCTTTACCCCCAATTATTTAACCCCCCCAAATAAAAATAAGTTCAAACTTGAACTTGACAGTTTTTTATACTGAATTTTATAATTCAGATTTACTTGACTCTATCTGCATTTAACTCTGAAAGACACACTGCAATAAAACCCTATTATCTAAGCCCAAAGTGAATTAAAGTATGTTCCTTTGTCCTGACACAGACAGACCCTCCATCTGTCCCTATGTTCCAGGGACGTCGCTGTTTTAGAGAAGCCATCCCAGTTTCTGATTTTATCCTGGAATGTCCCACTTTCCCTTTAGAAGTCCCTATTTTCATTGGAGAAATGTTGGAGGGTATGGTAGGATGTCCCTATTTTCACTGGAGGGTATGGAGTTATCCGACCCCTGAGCTGTCTGAAGGCAATCCTTTATAGGGAAGTTGTTTAATGTTTAATGTTTTATTATGTCTTTATATATGTTAGAAGCTGCCCAGTGAGGCTGGGGCAACCCAGTAAGATGTGTGGGGTATAAATAGTAAAATTATCATTATGGAATGGGATCTTTCTATTTTCATCAGAGAAATGTTGAAGGGAATGCACAAAGAGGTGCTGGATTTCAGAAGCAGACATTATTGCCACAATACCTGACTTCTCTGGACAGCTAAAAAGGTGTGCAGATGATATTGCATTAGCAGTTTATTGGCAAGGCGCATGGGATGTTGTTGTTCCCTGTAAGGTGGCCGCCCCATTTATGACTTCTCAGCACAATGCATTGATTCAGGAACTTCACCAAAGAGGCATGAGTCATGCTGTAAGTTTCCCACCCAGTCCGGAGAAGAAGTCAGAGCCATAAAATATGCACTTGCATGTGCCAATCCACTTGCAAAATTGTGCCTTGTATGCCGGGGATAAATCCTCACCCTTTCTGCTCTCATTCCTGCGGTAAAGTTTGGTGGCCACAAGATAAGTAGGGTCGCTGGTCCAAAGTCTGCCCACAAAGATGTCCATCCAGTGCATTGTGCATTGTGAATGTAACTGTGTTTGTTCAGTGACCAGTAAGCGGAGCTTTCTAAGCTAGATTTGAAGGCAGCTCGCAGCTCACATGTTATCCAAAACAGGACTGCTACGTAGGGCAAGAATTCGGATGGCTGTAATGCTGTTTGTGAAAGCGCTTTGGAAAAACAGTATTGTGCAACCAGCTGCTTTATTCCAAGCTAGACCATAGGTTCGCCTATCTAGTTATATATAAGTGCTACAAAATGTTGATCATTATAATGATGGACCAGTAAGGGAAAATGCTCATAAACAACACACATATACAAAAACATGCATGCACATGCAAAAATCCTCTCTTCTCCTTCCCATTCGCTCCAGCATCCAGAAATCTCTCGGAAGTCTGCAAACAGGACATGAGTGCATCGCTTCCGTTTGCTTTGCTCTTTTTAACCCTCTCATCCCCAAAGGGGATGCGGGTGGCGCTGTGGTCTGAGACTTGGGCTTGCTGATCAAAAGGTTGGTGGTTCGAATCCCCGTGACGGAGTGAGCTCCCGTTGCTTGGTCCCTGCTCCTGCCAACCTAGCAGTTTAAAAGCACGTCAAAGTGCAAGTAGATAAATAGGTGGGAAGGTAAAAGGCATTTCCGTGCGCTGCTCTGGTTCTCCAGAAGCTGCTTAGTCATGCTGGCCACATGACCTGGAAGCTGTACGCCGGCTCCCTCAGCCAGTAAAGCAAGATGAGCACCACAACCCCAGA